GCATTTGCCTGTCCACTCCAGCTCAGGGCAGCAACCTGGGCGCCTTGATAGTCAAGAGTTTCCCGTTCTTCAACCTGTTATGGCAAAGGCCTTTCTGTCTGGACAGTTTAGATAAGGCTGCCCAACAGTGTTATTACTAATGGCCATATGCTACCTCCAAAGAAAACAGGTTTCTAAATACTAGACACTAGAAGCATCAGCAGAGGAGAATCCAGCAACATTGGCCTTTGGTTGAATCCAGCAGGGCTCAGCTTATGTTCTAACCTTGCACCACTCATTTTCACTCAGTCTCAGTGGCCAGCACAACTGCTGGATTCAATTTCCCCATGGTCTTCTGTGTTCTTAGCCACTATGTTCCTAGATGGACTTCATCAGCTAAGCTGGCCCGTAAGATTGGCATGTTCATTTCAAGATTTATTTTAGTCAACAGTAAGGGAATACTTGCCAAGGTGGATGGAAATGTGCTGGGTTTATTTTTTTAAAATGTCATGATCTTTCCACGAGAATCTGAATAACATCTTCTTATAAAAGGCCACCTTCCCTTGGCATTTCTGTGTTTCAAAATTCGGAGCCAGCGACTTCATGGAGAAAAAGTTTGCTCATCACCAAAAAAAGTCAAAGCAGGTGTTTCTGAGAGATAACAGCAATGCACACATCCTGGCTGAGGTTTTAAATGCTAACGATAGCAAAATCAGGGCCCTTGTTCTTTCTAGTTACTGCTTGTGATACAATATATTAAACCTTTTAATCTCTTGCTGTGTTTACCTTATTCTGCCTTGCCTCTTGGATATTTACTGCCACAAGGCTGACATTTCCATCTAAATCAAGGACTTCTTGTTAAGTTCTGAACTTGGCTTCCCCTCCCCCCCCCGCCTCCCGCTTTCTTTTTTCATGCACTCAATCAGGCTCTTTCTGCTTCCCTGAAAATTCAAGCAGCAATTGTTTTTGCTCTTGATGCAGTTCCGAAATGTAACTTGGAATCTTTCTACTTCAGATATTTGAACTACAACATCTCTTTCTAAAAACACACATACATACATACATACATACATGAAATAGGTTCTCCCCTCAGAACTAAAACAACTTCCATTATTGGTTTGGATAGCTCAGCTGGTTAGAGAATGTTGCTATTAATGCCAAGGTTGCAGGTTCAACCCCCGTTTGGGACAGCTGCACAGTCCTGCATTGCAGGGGATCAGACTCGATGATCCTCAGGATCCCTTTCCAACCATACAATTCTATGGGTGTATAAGAGATCTGCAACTGGTTCAAGATTACTGTTCCTCTCAAAGTGTTTGTTTATACAGTGGTACCTCGGGTTAAGTACTTAATTCGTTCCGGAGGTCCGTTCTTAACCTGAAACTGTTCTTAACCTGAAGCACCGCTTTAGCTAATGGGGCCTCCCGCTGCCGCCACACTGCCGGAGCACAATTTCTGTTCTCATCCTGAAGCAAAGTTCTTAACCCGAGGTACTATTTCTGGGTTAGTGGAGTCTGTAACCTGAAGCGTATGTAACCCGAGGTACCACTGTAGCTGCAGGAGGACATTTTTCTTTAAAAAAAACAACAACAACTCCACATACTTTATCTAGGTAACATCAATAGAGTGGGTCTATCTTACTACTTTGGTGAAAGGTCAATGTGGTATGTTGAATAGCATGTCAACCTTGAGCCAGGGGTTAATTCCCTGCTTGGCAATGAAGCTCAGTAACCTTAGGCCAAATAGTGTTATTTTGATTTAAAATGGCAGAGAGTACCAGTCGCCCTGCTGTGAACCCCATGGAGGAAAGATACAAAATTTAAATGCAATTGAATAAGGATAAGGTGAAGCTGCCATAAGAAGCTTTGTATTGGATATTATAACACCAACATAATCTGTTATTGTTGTTCCAATGGTGCACAGAGGTTAGAAGGCATCATTTCATATTGGACATCTTTCTGTTGGGATACTGCCAGGGAGACGAAGCCATCAGGCAGGCCTCCACGTCGTCTCCAGACGATCTCCCGTTCTCCCGTTGGAACCGTATCAGTCAATTAGCCACACGAGCCTCAGAGACATTCCATGACTTGTGCACACCCTTTCTGCAGAGTTTCCACAACGGAAGATTCAGACAGGAGGGCATATTTACAGCTTTATTCAACATAGGTCAGAACAAAGGAAAAACATGACTGCTTGCCTCCGTGTCCAGGAAAAACAGCCAGAACAAAAGCTATATACAAAACGGAAACTCCCAGTGAGCAGGAAGTAAGCAGGCATGTGACACACAACAATCACGCCTGACCATTTAAGGTGGAACGGAACTATATCCTAACACTTTCTGTGCGGTCAAACACATCACTGAATGTTGGGGACCACATGCCAATGGAGGCAGGGTCAGAACCAAGAAGAAATGGGCCTGGGCCCATCAAAAAGGGGCAGGGGCATCGTATGCACTGCAAAATAAAGGGAACGTGTCATAAGTATACATTGAAAATGCTTCTCTGTTACATAATAAAATGAATAAAAATAAAAAACTTCTGCACACCTCAGTGTGAAGTCTACTTCTATTCTACATCTGGTAAACCTGATGGTGTTACTGCAGCTTGCAACTGATTTCCCAAATTCGCATCTGCTATTTTTCCACAGTGAAAGTTCATAGCGAGCAAAAGCTTTGAAAAGAAAAAGAAAAACCGCACCAAGCAGCAGGTAGAGCCAAACATTCATGTCAATTTCTGTTATTGTTTCACTTTTGGAAATGGGTTGGCAGTTATATACATTCTGTAGGACTCCAACAGTTCTGTGCAGTTGCAAACAGTTTTGTACCTGGCGTTATATTCACTACAACTTTGCTATTGTATGCATTCATGCGAACAGCTTTTTAGAGGTTTCAATGGGGTTGAAAAACTATTAAATTCTATTTCCTTCGATTTGGGGGTCTTAAAATCAGAATTGAAAGCTCTTGAGAAAATTCAGGCACTCCTGGACGTTCTCTGTAGTTGACAATGGTTGTTGTGCGTGAAATATTGGGAAAAGCACCAGGTCAATTCCATTTACCACAGGTTCAGCTTGCTCTCAGATGCTCTCACACGTAAACACAGGGAACTAAGCACCTAGCTGGGCCCTTGCAAATGGAGATTGAGCTCTGGTAAGTACTGAATAATGCTGAGTATTAATGTGTTGGGCCGATGGCACATTGGGGCAGCCCCATAGTTGTCATGGCAACCATGAAGTCCTGAGCCACCCCAGGACGAATCGCTTCAACACGGATGTTGCTGTCTGGGAGTCCTAAGTACTGCTTCTAAGACCAGCACTGTCAGCTCAGGCAGGGAGACTGCGGGGCAGCAAGGCAGGAGGTAAACCAACAGAATCCCATATGTGTCCCAATTATCCAATGTCAGAAACAAAGAGTCTACCCTTCTACTCAACTGGAGATTAGGAGACTTAGAATGTCATTTAGCAAAACCATAACATTTCACTGCCCCCTTTTTGTGGATTTAGAGAATGGACCAGGTAGATTTAAGAAACAAACAGCCTTGTAAAAGTAATCATTAAACTCAATGTACTTAGTTCCAGGCACACTATTTATTACTAGTCACTAAACTGTCACCAAATCCTTTAGTGAAATGAGTCATTCCGTTTTTACAGTTCAGCTCGCTTATGAAATGCTGCTCTTTCTGGTGATAAATACCTCTCATAGTGGAACTCATAATAATTTTTCTCCCAGAATACCTGGTACAATTCTATCAAAGTGTGTTTTCTACTAATAATATATGGCTTATGTTTTGTTTTGTTTTGTTTTGTTTTGTTTTCAGAAATCTCTCAGGATTTTTATTTACAAAAAGACAGAGTCCAAGATACAAGGAACCAGTTTAGGCATGCTTGCCAAGTGTTTGTATATGCCCTTCCCCATATTGTTTACTCGCTATTTCAGAATCCATATCCTAAGCTTTGTTTAGGTCCAATAGAACCATAATCAAGAAATTACCCAAGACATTGCACATCACTTTCATGGTCATCATGGGACCATCTAATAGTTACAGGTTGTTTGTTTGTTTGTTTGTTTGTTGTTTGTTTGTTGATTTATGAGATCTTCCTCTCAAAGGAAGGTGGCAAATGACAAAGCAATATAAACATTTAAAAAAAAATTTGAAAACACACCAAATATCCTTACAGCTAATACTTCAAATTTGCCACAAACAGTTATCTTTCATCCCCCAAATGTCTAGGTGAACAGGAACATCTTTGAATCCTGACTAACAACAATAATTAGGAGAACAGGCACAACTCACCAGGAACAACATTTCATAAGCAGGGCGGCACTATTGAGAAGATCCTGCTCCCAAGGCAAGTTAGAACAGAGCAATGCAATGCTGTATTCCAAAATTATAAAAAGCAGGGGAAAAGCAGCAGAACCATTCTTAAGCACAACAGCCAAAGGCAGACCTGAATAATCTTTTTAAAGGCTTTAAAAAGAGGTTTTCTAAAGGCCAACAGAGGAGTCATGAATATTCATGAGGATGATATTCCAGACACAAGGGGCTACCACAGAAGATCCCAACACACGTGCATGATGATGTGACCGCTTTCACTAGTGAACCAGAAAGGAGAGCCTCAGATGCCAATGTCTGAGCTTGGGCAGGTACATAAGAGTGCATTTAACCTGTTCCATGTAACGGTTGCTATTTACACAACTCAGGAGAGTAGCAGTTCCACTTGAATAATATTTTTTTTCTAGGCTACAGTCACTCTTTTCACAATTTTGGCTGTGTTCATTTATATCTTAATAGAAGAATTTACATCCTGCTTTCCCTCTGTACAATGCCTCAAAGAAAATTCAAAATAGATTTTAAAACCTATTTTAAAGCAAGCAATTAATGATGAGAACTTTCTGATAATAAGAGCTGTTCAACAATGGAATGGACTACCACAAGAAGTGGTGGACAGTCTCCTTCCTAGGAGGTTTTTAATCAGATGTCGGATGACCATCTGTCATGGATGACCTAGCTGAGATTCCTGTATTATAGAGGGCTGGACTAGAAGACTTGAGGTCACTTCCAACTCTGCAATTCTCTGATTCTATGCTGTTCCTCAGTGCTTTAGCACAGCTTATCAGGCAGCCCTAGAATAGTCTCCTAACACTACCTTTAGACAGAAAAGTATGGAGACAGTTGTTTATGGTAGCTTTAAACAAAGGATGGCAAACCTGTGGTCCTCCAGGTGTTGATGTTGCTCCAGATGTTGCTCTAGATGTTCAGCTGTCATCAGCCTCATGCAGCATGGACAATGGTCAGGAACGATGGCAGCTGACAATGAACATATCACAGGGTTAAGGGAGGAGGAGGAGGAGAAAAAAACAAACCCAAATAACATATCCATTCGAAATGGAGCTGTATGAATGGTTTCAGCTTAGCCTTCATTTAAATCAGATTTTAGGACAATCTTCCACTGGCACAAAAGTGCTGTAAAATAATATCCCATCATTATTCTGAGGATCTCATTTGGAAGAGAAAAACTGGAAAGTTAAGTGGGAATGTTAAAACATGTAATCTAAACCTTCCATCTCAAACTGTTTAATTTTTTGTAAATAAATTTTTATTGATTTTCACATTTGAATTCCACATTTAATCACAATAGTACTCCCCCCCATCCCCAAATACCTTTTTCAAAACCTTATCTTTGAGGTTCTTTAGACCTCATGACTTCCCTTCATTCCCCCTTCTTGGTTCTTTATATAGACAAAAATCTTCTGCATTTCCATATTCGTATTCCAGTTATTCCATATTCCAATTATTATTTCTCTCAATCTATTCAAATTTCTACTGATTGCAAGTGTTTAGTCAAGTCCTACTGATGTTTCAACCTATTTGCAATACTCTGCAATTGAACAATAAACATTCCCCATTCTTTTTCCTAACTTTAGCATACTTAAATTTCACCGGAAGGCGACTATCTGTTGAGTCAGATTTGAAATCCTGCTCCCCTTCCTCCCAGGTTTTTCTCAGTCTCAGGGGCTGTAGTTTTGGCCTCATTGTAACCGCCAAGGCTCCCCCAACTGATTCCTGCCTGTCCCCCCAAACCATCCACCTCGACACTAGGCATTTCCTGCTCTTTCTTCATATCAGATCCTTGCATGGCCACCTCCCCCACTTCTGTTTCCTTTGTCGATGGTTCTATCTTAATAATCAGTTCTGTCATCATTTCAGTATTTTTATCTATTTGAACTAGTAATTTCTCTGTTAGATTTTCTAAATTTTCCTTCATCTCTTTTATCAGCTGTCTTTTGAATTCTGAAAAAAGCTACACCCATTCAAAATGGGGCTTATCCCCCAGGTCCTGTTCGGAGACCCTTCTGTCCAAACTTAAAGTTGGCTGCTTTTTAACTGCCATCTTCTTCTCTTTCCCTTGTTCTCAGAACAGCCAGTTTTCCAACAGTACCTTATCAGTTTGTCAAGGTCATCAAGCAGCGCTTTCTTGGTAAACAACATTTCCACCCTCCTAACCCTTTTCCCTCCAGCTCTATTACCTAGTATGTTTATACAATTTAACATAAAGTCCACATTTCAAATTAATTCTAGATTTTACAGATATTTACTTTAAAAAAGAAAACAAAGAGCAGTCTGTCCAAAAAGAATTCAGCTTAATTATCCAGGGAAGAGTACTTGCTTCTTATTAAACCTATTTTCTTAAAATGTCTCAGAATGATGTGAGAGATTTGAAGCAGTTAAAAATCCTTATGATTTCCTCCTTTTAATGAGTTTCCAACAGATCCAGTCCTTTCAAAATTCCAGCCTCTTTTGCTTATATCAGTTCCACTTTAGAGTTCCAGTTTGTCTTTAGAAAAACAAGTTCGGTCTTCTATAAATCACTGCAACCCAGATATATAATTCCATACATTCCCCCAACAGAGTGCACAGTAAGTTTGTTCCAAGTTTTCTCTGCTGGCTTTGAATTCACCAATGGCTGTAGTTCGAAGTCAAGTCCACAACTGTAAATCTGATAAGTCGGTAACTCCAATAAAAAGCAATAATGAATGGGTTTCAGTTGCTTTTACTCCAACCTTCCCATCAGCAGACAGTATCCATAAGTATCATAAAGAAAGATTTAGTAACCTTTTCACTTGCAAATTGTTTCCATGCAGTGATAGTTACCAATAAGACAGGGATGGACTTCCTTTTTACTCCTCCGCCTGGTGCCGAATTCCACCTAATTAATTCCAAAAGTAAATCTTCTTTAACTTTCCATTGACTTAGTAGTGATTTTTGGAAGATCTCTGCTTCAGGCTTGAGCTGAGGCTTCGCTCCCGCAGAGTTGCAATACTACAATGACCACAAGCTCAATTGACGCTCCCCCCCAACTCCCCATACTTTCCAGCACAAAAGGAGTTTGGGGGTTGCAGGAGAGCCCTTTTGCGGTCTGCTGGACCTCTCGACACCCTGAGACCCTCTCAGGGCTTTTGGGGGGGGTGCCTCCCCTTGGCACTTCCCCGTTTCTCTGCAGGGTTCAAGTCTGTCAGACGATCCGACTCGCGCTCCTTTCCGCCATCTGCAGAAACCGGAAGTCCCCATCTCAAACTGTTTAAAGCTTCCAGGGACACAAAGAGTTGCATGCATTGTCATTCCCTCATTTAGGGTCACATCAGTTAATCATATTGCATCTGGTTGCCTGACTTCATTTGGATAAATTTGTTTGACTCTTTTCTTAAGCGTTAGATTAGTTTGATCAATTATTTCAATTAGCTGGATTAGTACAAATTGGAAACTCCAATCTGCACATCCATAGAGTTTGCAAAATTGCAACAATAATCGCTCAGTGGTGTTAGAGAATTGTCAATGACACATTTTGCATTTTGAATATACAATTAATAAATCAATGTCATAAATTATCTCCAGTTATTAAGTAGTGCAATAAAAGTACCTGAGTTTACAGTGCAGAAAATAATGACCGAATCCATTTTCTGAGTTACCAGCACAATAAATTTTCAGTACCTTTTTAAAACAGCCATAGTTCAATATTCATTCAACAAACATCACACCTGTAAAAATAATGCTTAATAAATCAGCTAGTAGGTGTTTAATTTCTATTCATTGTCAGTACACCTGAAAGTTGTCTCATTTCCATACTTTTGACAACAGTGGGCTACCAGGCATTATTCTCTGAGTTAGCCTTGTCTCCCAGAAACGACCGGATCCAGGGCTCTGTTTCTTCTTGCCCACAGGGAAGGTCTTGGAAAAGGAAAGGATGAGAGCATGTGAGGATGCATCACTATATGAACATATGGAGCTGCCTTATACTAAATGATACCATCAGTTTATCTGTGGCTTCTCTGACTGGCAGTGTCTCTCCAAGCCAAGATCCCAGGCTGGTCTTTCCTACATCATACCAATCAGATCATTTTAAACTGCAACTGCCATGGATTGGACTTGTGGTCTTCTACATGCAAAACACATGTTGGCTCCTTCACACATCCAGACTTTGGTCTCCTAGGACTGAAGCGTCCAATGTGACTCCTCACCCACTTCGTGTCATGAAGAGAGAAACCAGGATATTTTGGAAGAGACTGCTTCTCACTCAAACACAAAGATTTTCAGTTGAGTTATTTCACACATTTCAGCTGCAAGTTGTCAAGCGGTGACAAAACAAGTTCTAAGCCTGTGTGCGTCAAGTGACTTTAAGGTGACCAGGAATCAGAACAGGCTACCATCTCCGTGGATGAGTTAGAGAGCAATGACCCAGGTCAGCTAAGAAACTGACATCTGCTCTGCTCATGTTATTGAGCTGTTGACTGCAACCGTACATTCACACATTCTGTGCAATAAGGATGGAACGGTCTGTACATTCCCCCTCCCCTTCTACTCTTCAGTTTGCCCCATTTCTCCATCAGTTTGCATTTTTTAAAAATCTACATGGAAATTTGTATGCTTTGTTGTGCACTCTCCCCCTAAAATACACCTTTTTGTACACAGTGTAACTTAATGGTTTGCAAACCATTTCCCCTAATCCAATCTATTTTTGCGTGTTTCTTTCACTAAGGTACACATTGCTATACACACTTTCCCTTAAGATATTATTATTTTGTGCATGTTGTGATAGGTGAACTGCATTCCAAAACTTGGGAAAGTGTGAATTTTGAAGGACAGCTATGTATGTATTATCCTGGAAAATGTAAATTACGTGAGTTTGCATCAAAGTGCAATTCAAAGCAAATTACCCCCTAGGTCAGGGGTCTGCAACCTTTAAGACAAAAAGAGCCACTTGGACCCCTTTCCGAAGGGAAAAAAAACTGGGAGCCGCAAAACCATTGCAACATTTAAAACAAATATATCTCCGGAGTCGCGATCTGACAGTGGGCGGGAAGGTGACGTCGGGACGGTGCGTGACTAACGCATGCACCGCCCCCATGCAACGTCACAGCAAGTACAGCGCCCTCGCTAGTATCCGCCCCGGAGCCGCTGCAAAGGTGTAAAAGAGCCACATGCAGCTCCGGAGCCGCGGGTTGCAGACCCCTGCCCTAGGTCCTACTAAGTGGCAGTTGTCTGAGTGTGTTTCATGGGTTGATATATATGCATGTAAGCATGTATGCATGCGTGTCATAGGTATGCCGTTTTCAACGTTGCCAACCCAACCACTTTGGCCATGCCAACGGCTATTTCCACCACCCTGCTTTTGCAGCTCCTGAAGGTCAACCATGAGAGAATGTGGCCCTCAAAGTGAAGAAGTTTTCCACCCCTTAGGCTGCTAAATCCATTTTAAAAAAGGTCTGCTGCCAATTTCCACTCAAAATGCTAATAGTGTTACATCCCACATTTAAAATGTCAAATTCTTCTTCAGGTACCTGCTATTCCTTATTACAGCAATTTAAGTGGATGGCAAGCAGTACATATGAGAAACGATTGGCGCCTTCCACGTGAACACAAATGATTTACAAATGGTGTTTCCGCTTTGATGCCGTTGTGATGCACAGGCAATATAATATTACTATCAATCTTACTTTAATGTGCACTGCTGGGACTTTCTCATTTACCTTGATGTTACCGAGTCCCTCCAATCATTGCCCAATCTGCACTTGAAACATGAGCTGATTTTAGCCTTTGCCAAAGGATGGGCGTTCCTGTCACACGAGAGCTCGTTAGAAGGACAGATTTCCTGAAAGTTAAAAGCAACTGCTTTAATTACACACAAAGACAGCAGAGAGGATGGAAATGCATTGGTATGGGATGATGACAGAGAACCTTTCTCACGGATCATATTAATACCCTGCTACAATAGAGTAGTGAGCAATCACAGCTATCTGGAAGCATCACAACAGACCGCAAATATTCTCGGTTTTTAAGACAGACTGAAAAGATTCATAGTGGGAAAGCTGCAGTATGTGTTCTGCGTACTATTTCCCTTCCTGTCTCCTGTTAACGGTTTTGACAGAGTCTCCATGCCTAACTCTGAAAACACTTTAAAAAATTCTTCTGATTTAGACTAACAGCACCATCTAGAGCAGTGGTTCTCAATCTGTGGGAACCCAGATGTTGTTGGACTACAACTCCCATCAACCCTGACCACTGGACATGCTGGCTAGGAATTATGGGAGTTGTAGTCCGACAACATCTGGGGACCTACAGGTTGAAAAACACTGATTTAGAGCAACTGGAACTCTGGGGGGCCCAACTTCCCCCGCATCCTCCCCAAATCTGCCCAGGGGAGGGGAGTTGGGGGAAAAACCATAAGAGATTTGGGGAGGATGGGGGGAAGTTCCATTCCACCACCACCAAACATTGTGCTAATGGAACAAGTAATTTAGCAATATATTGAGTACAATCCATACAATCACAATTGCCTTCAGTGGTTTAAAAGGGTATTTCTTCAAAAATTATTACTTAGATCTTTTTCATCTGCTATACTTCACAGTCTTTAAAATGGTGATGACAGCAGTTAAGTACAGTGGTACCTCAGGTTAAGAACTTAATTCATTCTGGAGGTCTGTTCTTAACCTGAGGCACCACTTTAGCTAATGGGGCCTCCTGCTGATCCCCGCAATTTCTGTTCTCATCCTGAAGCAAAGTTCTTAACCTGAGGTACTATTTCTGGGTTAGCGGAGTCTGTAACCTGAAGCATCTGTAACCTGAGGTACCACTGTACAGAGATAATAGTAAGTATTTAATTTGTTATTTGTGTATTAATATATTCATGATATTTTGAGACGGAGGAGGAAAATGTATAAATAAAGTATAGGATGTCACAATTCACAGTGTGAACATTCAATACAAATATATGATGCTTATGAAGCTGTGCCCCATACCGTAAACAATAGTAGACAGTGCAATGTTATGGTTTTAATGTTAAATCTGAGTCATTCTCAACATACATCCTTTTTAAACATGCACACAGACGCTAACAATGACTCAGCTGAGAGCTATTTGACCATAATATTTGATTTTACAAACACGGGAGGTTAAGCATTAGCCTTGCATTTAGTATGAGTTTAAATAAACTTGGCCATATAACAAATGAACAGACCAGGTTAAAACCAGCCAGGGGGCAATCCTACCTACTGCAAGAGCTTTATTTTAAGCATTCGGAAGCAAGAAAATATACCAGAGATGCTACTTAACACAAACTTCCCAGTTCCATTTTATTTTGTTGGTACTGGAACCAACAAACATCATTGCACAACTGCTGTGGCCCCATTACCCCACCAAGTCCCAACAGCGATACCTCTTGTCCCTGGTCACCCCTGACATTCACCCCCCTCCAGTTGGTGCTATCAACCTTTATAATTTCCCACAATGTTTCTGACATAGCTTCACTCTGGGTCATTGTGGGACATTTAACAAGCAACTAGACCCAGCCAGTCAGCACTGCCACCATTGCTACCACCTTGCACTGCTTTCAAGGCCCACCAGAAAACACTTGGCCCAGGGCTCTGAGGACCATGGCCTAGTGGCAGCAGAGGCAATTTTAGGGTAGCATGACCAGTGCAGCTGCACTGGGTGCTGCACTGCAGGGGGCACCAAAACAATGCTGTAGAATGGAGCGAGAGAGGCAGGAAGCGCCAAATTTTAGTGGCACACAGGGTGCCACAGAAATTTGAGAGACCAAAGTCCACCTCTGGTGGCAGAGCATTTGCTTGCATGCAGAAAGTCCCAGGTACAGTCCCCAGCATCTGCAGCTAGGACTTGGAAAGATCTCTTGCCTGAAACCTGGAAGAGCTGATGCCCGACAATAGTGAATTACTGTATTTTTTGCGCTATAAGACTCACCCGACCATAAGACGCACCTAGTTTTTAGAGGAGGAAAACAAGAAAAAAAGAAAACAACGCACAGTCTCTTGAGCGAAGAGGCAGGAGAGCTTCTGCTGTGCTCAAGAGGCTTTGCGTAGCTATCCCTGAAGCCAGAAAAGCAAGAGGGATTGATGCGCACCGATCCCTCTTGCTCTTCTGGCTTCAGCGATAGCTGCGCAGCCTGCATTCACTCCATAAGATGCACACACATTTCCCCTTACTTTTTAGGAGAGGAAAGGTGCGTCTTATAAAGCGAAAAATACGGCAGATGGATCGTTGATTGGTCTCCCTTAGTATAAGGCAGCTTTCTGTGTTTATGTGTCCCCTTCAAACTGGAAGCTGTAACAAACTTGTTCTAGGACAAATTGTATTCCAGAACCCAATTCCAGCATCAGATAATTAGGCCTAAATTATACGATTAGATTGCAACTTAAACAATGTGATTATTTTTGTTTGTTTGTTTTAAAAAATCAAAGCCTAATTTGAACTCTTATCTTTTCACAAGGTTAGCTGCCCTCTAGCGCTGATCAGGCAATGTGTTGCATTGCCACAGGGTCCATGTGTTTTCTTTTTATTTTCTTCTCGCTTTTATCCCAGTTGGCATGCAATACACAACGTTTGTTCAGATTAGGAATTAGTGATCTATATCAGCAGATGAAATACTTTTCCCTGTAAGCACTTTTTTTTGGGGGAGGGGGGACATAGCAAAAAGAAAAAGAAAACCTGTCTGAAAATCAACAGGGTATATAAACAAAACATGTTTAGCTATTAGAGCAATCCACAGTACATCCATGTCCCAAATCAGTATGCAAAAGTTTGGGTTTGGCCATTTTGCAAAGCCCTTTTAACTCACCATCTGTGCAAGCATGGAAAGGGCAGAAGCTAAAAGGCAGAGAATCAGCATTGCATACAGAAAGTCCTAGGTTGAGGGTTCAGTGCTGGGAATCTCCAGGTAGGGCTGGGAATGACCCCCATCTGAACACCTGGATAGTTACAGCCCTGAGCAATACTGAAAAAGCAATAATAATAATAATAATAATAATAATAATAATAATAATAATAATTTTATTTATATCCCGCCCTCCCCAGCCGAAGCTGGGCTCAGGGCGGCTAACAACAAACAAAATAATCCAACATTCTAAAAACATTCATTATAAAATTAATTAGATCAAATTACAATCAAATTAATGGCAACCATCAAGCAAAATTCTGTGCAGATTGCCAGAGGAGGGGGTCAGGCTGCGCCCTGACCAAAGGCTTGGTGGAACAGCTCTGTCTTGCAGGCCCTGCGGAAGGATGTCAGGTCCTGCAGGGCCCTAGTCTCTTGTGACAGAGCGTTCCACCAGATTGGAGCCGCGGCCGAGAAAGCCCTGGCTCTCGTTGAGGCCAGCCTGACCTCTCTGTGGCCTGGGACCTTCAAGATGCTTTTATTTGAAGACCGTAAATTTCTCTGTGGGACATACCAGGAGAGGCGGTCCCGTAGGTACGAGGGTCCTAGGCCGTATAGGGCTTTAAAGGTTAAAACCAGCACCTTAAACCTGATCCTGTACTCCACCGGGAGCCAGTGCAGCTGGTATAATACCGGATGGATATGATCTCGCAGCGAAGACCCCATAAGGAGTCTCGCCGCGGCATTCTGCACCCGCTGGAGTTTCTGGGTCAGTCTCAAGGGCAGCCCCACGTAGAGCGAGTTACAATAATCCAGTCTGGAGGTGACCGTCGCGTGGATCACAGTGGCTGGGTCAGGGCGAGAGAGATAAGGAGCCAACTGCTTAGCTTGGCGGAGATGAAAAAATGCCGCCTTTGTTATAGCTGTAATCTGCGCCTCCATAGAGAGGGAGGTATCGAAGATTACACCCAAACTCTTAACGGACGATGCTGGCACTAATTGCACCCCCGCAAGAAATGGGAGTTGCCCCCTCAATCCCATATCGCTCCGTCCCAGCCAGAGGACCTCTGTCTTCGACGGATTTAACTTCAACCGGCTCCCACGTAACCATCCAGCCACAGCTTCCAGACATCTGGTCAGTGTATCTGGGGCCGAGTCAGGATGGCCGTCCATCAACAGATAGAGTTGGGTGTCATCGGCATACTGATGGCAGCCCAGCCCAAAACTCCGGACAAGCTGGGCGAGGGGGCGCATAAAGATGTTTAAAAGCATCGGGGAGAGAATCACACCCTGAGGCACTCCACACACCAAGGAGTGGCGCGATGACAATTCCCCCCCAAGCGCCACCCTCTGTCCCCGACCAGAGAGAAACGAGCGCAGCCACTGAAGGACTGTGCCCTGAATCCCCACGTCGGCAAGGCAGTGGTCCAGGAGTTCATGATCGACCATGTCGAAGGCTGCTGACAGGTCTAGAAGAATCAGCAGCCCCGACCCGCCTCGATCCAGCTGCCTGTGGAGATCATCTGTTAGGGCAACCAGAGCCGTCTCGGTCCCATGACCAGCGTGGAAGCCAGACTGGAATGGATCTAGAGCTGATGTTTCATCCAGAAACCTACCAAGCTGTTCAGCAACCGCTCTCTCAATCACCTTACCCAGGAATGGAAGATTCGAAACCGGGCGGTAATTGGATAGATCTAAAGGATCTAATGATGTTTTCTTTAAGAGTGGACGCACCACTGCCTCCTTCAGTTCCCCTGGGAATATCCCGGTGCCAAGGGACAAATTGATGATATCACCCAGGGGGGCCCGCACCTCGTCTGGACACGCTCTAATCAGCCAAGACGGGCACGGGTCAAGAGGACAGGTGGTGGGCTTCCCAGCTTGGAGGAGTCTGTCCACATCGGCTGGAGATATCCGGTCAAAGTGGTGCCAATACTGGACCCGAGGACAGTCGAGGGGCCTCCAGTTCCTTTATTGTATCC